TGGAGAGAAGGTCACGGCTGGTGGTGCTGTCAGCGCTGGGCGTGCCGGGCACTGGGAAGTCCACTCTTCTCAACACCATGTTCGGGCTTCGGTTTGCCACAGGGAGGGGCCGGGGTCCTCGAGGGGCCTTCATGCAGCTTGTCACAGTGGCTGAGAGCTTCAGCCAGGACCTGGGCTGTGACCACATCCTGGTCATAGATTCGGGGGGGTTGATAGCGGGCGCCCCGGCCACTGCGGGGGAGCGCTTTGAGCTGGAGGCCTCCCTGGCCACTTTGATCGTGGGGCTGAGCGACGTCACCGTGGTCAGTTTAGCGGAAACAAGGGACATCCCACCGGCCATCTTGCATGCCTTCCTGAGGCTGGAGAAAATGGGGCACATGCCCAACTACCAGTTTGTGTACCAGAACCTTCACGACATGTCTGGCCCCGGCCCGAAGCCCCGTGAGAGGAGGCCGCTGCTGGAGTCCCCCTCGGACTCGAGCAGGGCCTGCACTCACATGGACAAGCAGGGAGGCGGCCTCCGGACGCTGGCGGACCTGGCCTTCTGTGACCCCGAGAAGCAGCATGTCTGGCATGTGCCCGGCCTGTGGCACGGGGCGCTTCCCATGGCCGCCGTGAGCTCGGGGTACAGTGAGGCCGTGTTTGAGCTGAAGAGATGCCTGCTGGAGAACATCAGGAACGGCCTGTCGGAGCCCCACAGGAATATCCAGCAGCTCATTGAGCTGGTGGGACTGCTGTGAGTGTGGCTGCTTGGGGTGTCCATTGGGGCTGGCACCTGAGGCGCCGGTGCCCCGCCCGTGGGAGAAGGTAGAAAAGCAGAAGACGGGCCTGGAGTTTCCTGCCCTATTGAGCCGCAGAGGCTGTAGGGATGGAGCTGCTCTGGGTGGGGGATGCATACAGGACTGTGTCTCAGCTCCTTGGGCGGCCTGGAGCGGAGAGGCACTCCCTCTCCATCACGCAGCTGGCACGCGAGTCCCAGGAAGGGTGGGGAAGGGGCCCTAGGAAGCATACAGGCTTACCTCCAGCCCCGTGTTGGTGGGTCCACGCTGTCCGGACAGAGTGCCCATGTGGCAAATCTATTTATTGCCTGACGTGAGGCCCCACCCTGCTGCTCCCCACGCCCTGCAGCACCTGGTATACAACTTCCCATGGCAGGAACACGTGTGGGCTCACGTGCCAGCCCCGCCCCCAGACTGTGAGCTCTTTGAGGGCAGGGGCTGTGTTACCCAGCTTTGTCACCCCAGGGCCTGGCACACTGCGGGCGCATTAATAAAAGTTTGTGAAACTAACAGACACGCGAGTGAGAGGAGCAGGTGGTTCCTCTCTGGGCCGAATGCTCTCGCTTCCTCTGAGAGGATCAGTGCTTTCTGAGGGAGGGCGGGCAGGGGACCCCGAGAGGAGGTGCCTTCTAGACTGTTCCTGGGAAAAGGAAATGTTCCTGCCACAATCCCATCACTGTCCCCTTCTGCAAGGGGGTGCAGCCCCACCTCCACCCTACCCTTTCATTAGCAGGCCTGTGAGTGCTCCTATTACTGTCCTGATCTTCCCTCTTGTCTGCTTTTCTGCCCCCCCGTCCCACCCCCACCCCGCTCCCTGCTCCCTGCAGAAGGTGGTCAGCCACTTTGGAGTCCTGATCGGTCCTGGGGTCTGGAAATCTAGTGAGGTCTGAGTTTATGGCATGTGATGCCCGTTTTCCCATCCACCACTGCAAGCCTGGAGTGTGGCTGTCAGCCCCAGGTTACTGGGCAAAGGAACAGGGCGCGTGGAAACAATGGTTACTTCAGCACCATGAAGGTGAGATTGGTAGCACCACCCCTTCTGTGCCTCAGCAGTGGAGAGGGTGCTGGAGAAGGACCATGGTCAGAGCCCCTTGGCTCCCCATAAAGAAAGTGGAGGACGGTGCCAGCACTCGGGTTCCGCTGTGCTTTGGCTTAGTTCCCAGATGAGAGCTTGGAGCCTTGGATTCTTCCTGGTGAATGGACTGGCTGCCAGGAGAAAACAAATCACCAGGAGCCATTGGTTTATTTTTTATTCCTTGTCATTGGAAGGATTACATATGTCCCCTTGGTTCTCCCATTGACCCCTGGCTACCAGGAGTAATGTTGAGGTACAGATTTATACATGTCAAGTGTGATCAGCTCGGAGGATGCTAGTCTTGCCAGGAGGACCTTTGTGAGTGGCATTGTCTGGGCTAAGCCTGCAGCCAACAGGAAGGCAGAGGGCTCGGCTAGGACATCTCTCCCTGAGATGACTCACAACATTCCTGGCTGGACTGCAAATCCAGGGGCCCAGAGCCCCCCCACACAGTGTCACCCACTGGCCAGAACCCTATCTAACAGAAACAAGCCCTTGGACTGTGCTGCACCCACTGGACAGACCATCTCAAAGACGTCCAGATCCTCCAGCAGGCTTCTCCTCTGCCTTGTGGTCCAAGAGGGGCAGGTGTGGACTAAGTCCATCCCCTCTGAGCTGGTGTAAGAGCTAAACCAGCCCCCCCCCCCCCCCCACACACACACACCCTGCACCTGGTGCCCCTGCCTAGGTTCTGGGAGTGTGCCGGGCTCTGGCTCTTTTTAAAAAAATAAATATGTTTTATTGGTTTTTTACAGAGAGGAAGAGAGAGGGATAGAGAGTTAGAAACATTGATGAGAGTCATCTATCAGCTGCCTCTTGCACACCCCCTACTGGGGTTGTGCTCGCAAGCAAGGTACATGTCCTTGACCGGGATCGAACCTGGGACCTTTCAGTCTGCAGGCTGATGCTCTATCCACTGAGCCAAACTGGTTTCGGCAGGGCTCTGGTTCTTAAGCAAGGCTACAAATCTGGGTCACCTGAGGTGTACTGGAAAAGCACGGCGACGAGGCAAGCCTTCTGCACCTGGCTGCGATTGGCCTCTGGGCAGTAGGTGAGGGGTGGCCAGGCCCTGCAGAGAGCCACTGGCACAAGGATTCATGCACAGGGCTACTAGTATATATATAAAATGCTAATATGCTAAGTGTCCAGGTAATGATGCCATGTAGCAACACCCGGCTTCCTCTCCCTAGCCACTAGCCTCCTTGCAGTTTCTTCAGCCCAGGAACATGACAGCTTTATAGTCAGGTGCAAACATTTCACACTTGAACCAAATGTCTGTGAAGCGTTTTCCCATGCTTCATCACATTTGATCCTCACAGAAGTCCTGGAATAAGTAGATAGGAGACTCGAAATCCTATTTTCTTTTCATTAGCTGGGAAATGGAGATTTTAAAAAGTTTAGAAATTTGACTCGACTGAAAAGAAGAAATAATGGAGCTTGAAAATGATTTCAGGATCTACAGTAATAATCTGCTTCATGTTGATGTTTATTGCTGTGTTGCTGACAATTACCTGAAAGAGAAGTTGGGGTGCTTCACTGACTGGAACAGGTTTAGGTACATCAGAAAGCAGGTCTAATTAAGCAAGTTTATAAAAGGCTAAGTTAACTCACACATGCAAGATACATATAAAGTTCTCGCTGGTGCCAATCACACGCTTGTGTTTTGATCTGTCATTGTCGATTGTGAATTTGGTTGACACTTTAATTATAGAGAAAGGGCGAATAGCAATATTAAAATATTTCTTCTAATTAATTTCCTTTAAGTGTGCATGAATTCATGCACCAGGCCACTAGTCAAGTTATAAAATAGCCAAATTTTATTGAAAATAAAATATCAGTGTAAAAGGGTCCTTCAGGAAGGATTAAAAGTTCTTACAATCAGGAAGTATTGTGCTTAGAGGCCATCTCATCCCTGTTTTGCCCTCTTATCCAACATGCAGAATAGTTGGAGGCCACAGTTAAAAAAATTAGAAATAAAACATTTCTAGTGAACTGGGCATGAAAGACACTGTCCTTTTATTAAAAAAAAATTTTTTTTTGAAGACCCAGCTTCAAGTGGCCATCAGAATCGTGGTCATGGAGAATGTACAGACTTGGTCCCTTTTCTTCTTCCCCAATGTTATCTTAGGCAACTTACCCTCCACCTTTGCCTCCCTTTCCCTTCCACATAAGGGTAGTCTTGTCCTCCCTTCCATGGGAGCCACAGCAGCCTGAGGATGGATGATGGAGGTAAAACAACAAAAACAGGCCAAAATGATAGTGATTCCACATGAGTCAACCTAACAGAAACAATGACAACTATTTATCCCGACAGCTCTATGAGGTAGGACTATCAATTACTCCCATTTTATAGATAATGGAACTGAGGCTCAAGTGTACACAGACTGTTACTCCAGCCCTAGAGCCTAGATTTTTCCCGGTTCTTGTGTTGAGTTCAGAAGTGAGACATACAGTGTTGTTCCTTTCCTCTGTGACCACCAGAGAGCAATCAGCAGTACTGCTCTGGTCTGAGTATCCCAGGCCCCCAGGTTCTCATCCCCCAAGGCATACTCCAGAAGCCCAAAAAATATTATTTGAAAATATTATTGAAAGTAAACTTTATTTGAAAAATTAAAAAATTTCAGAAATATAAAAGAAATATATGTTCATTATGGAAAATACATATAGACCAAAATAAATTACACGTGATCATACTTTCCAAAGATAAAGTACTGCTAATATTTGAAATAGGCTTCTATGTTCTTACTGTGTACATAGGTTTATGATTTTTTTTAACACAAATGGCATCTTGTAGACAGTTTTTGTGATCTTTATGTATCATGGGGATTTTAATGTAATAAATATAATCCATTTGTGGATTGTGGGGGAGAAAGTATTTGGAAACAAGTCAAGTAGCCTAATTTGTAGAGCTCCAAGGGGAGGTCCGGGCGAGGTGGCGCGAGGCCACGCTATGGTCCTCCCTCAGGACACAGGCACGCTGGGCGGGTGTGGGGGGTGGGGAGGACCTTACGCTCTGCATCCGGATGGGAACCTGGACACAAACTCCAGTGGTGGCGGTGGCGGGAGAGGTACGGAAACCGACATCGCCCTGCAGCCCCGCCCCCGGCCGAGAGGCCCCGCCCCGGCCGAGAGGCCCCGCCCCGGCCGAGAGACTTCCACACCCGCGCGGGCTTCAACTTGGTCCAGTCCGCGGTTGCTTCCCGGCGCTGACCTTTGCTCCGCGACGCGGTGTTACGTCACAGCCTGCGGCCAGCTCAAGATGGCGGCGCCCGTGTGCGGCAAGGGGCTCGGGCTGCGGGTGAGTGGGCGACGAGGTGGGCCGGGTCGGAGGGGTGGCCTGGTGGTCTCACGCTCTTCCTCCGCGCACACAGGTGCTGTCCTGGAGCCGAGCGCTGCCCGGTGCCTGGCGCGCCCTGCACGTCTCCGCGGCCTGTGCCAAGGTGAGCGGCGGGGCGGGGGCCGGGGCGGGGCCGGGAGGCCGCTGGGCCGGGTGGGGAGCGGTGAGGGGCCGGGACGGGGGCCGGGACGGGGGCCGGGGCCGGGGTACGAGAGGCCGGGGGGTTGGTGGCGGAGAGAGGTGAGGGCCGGGGCACGGACTTAGGCCGCTCTTTGCTCCTAGAATCGGGCGGCCCGGGTCCGAGTGGGCAAAGGGGACAAGCCCGTGACCTACGAGGAGGCGCACGCGCCTCACTACATCGCCCACCGCAAGGGCTGGCTGTCGCTGCACACAGGTGAGGGGACACCACGCGCCAGAGGCTGGCGATGCGGCCCCGGGCCCCACAAAGGAGTTCAGTCGTGACTTCAAACACACGAGATGAGCTCGGGTCAAGGTTTATTCCAACCAGCGCTCAGTGCCGGAGTCAGAAACCCGTTCACGCCCAAAGCAGAAGTAAAACAGCGAGAGTGGATCGGGGATGTTGAGATGCATTGAAAGGGGTACAGAATTGCCTCTCCGCGGGTGCGAGGACTGCAGTGCACCTCCTCAGGAATTGTGTGTGTGAGCGGGATGGAGTCACCTGTGATGGACAGAGAAGCCAAGTGGCCGAGTCAGTGAAAGGAGTGAACCCCCTTAGCATCAGCCTGGACTCGTGGGGCAGTGTGCTGTAAATAATGCAATTTCCCACAGGTTTTTCTTCATTTTGTGTTTGAATTTGCCTATTCTTGACTCTTTATAGGTCACTCTCAGCCGTGGGCATCTTCCCAGCTGAGGTAGAATAGGGTTCTGCCCGCTTTTTAAAAAAATACATTTTATTGATTTCAGAGAGGAAGGAAGAGGAAGAGAGAGAGAAACATCAATGATGAGAGAGAATCATGAGTCGGCTGCCTGTTGCACACCCGCACCGGTGATTGAGCCCACAACCCAGGCATGTGCCCTGACTGGAAATTGAACTGTGACCTTCTGTTTTATAGGTCAACACTCAACTACTGAGCCATGTTTGCTGGGCTCTGCTCTCTTTTTAAAAAATGTAATTATTTACATTTTTTATTTATTTAAATATGTTTTATTGATTTTTTTTTACAGAGAGAAAGGGAGAGGGATATAGAGAAACATCGAGCAGCTGCCTCTTGCACACCTCCTACTGGGGATGTGCCTGCAACCAAGGTACATGCCCTTGACTGGAATTGAACCTGGGACCCTTGAGTCCGCAGGCCGATGCTCTATCCACTGAGCCAAACCGGATAGGGCCACACTTATTTATTTTTAAAAACATCTAATTGAATTTATTGGGGAGACATTGGTTAATAAAATTGTATAAGTTTTAGGTGTACAATTCTATGAGATATCTGTGTATTGTATTGTCTGTTCACCTCAAGTCAAGTCTCCTTCCTAGCTCTGCCCCCTTGTTTCAGTTTTCCTACACTAAATGTATCCTTTTCGAGATTTATTACTGCCATGTTTTCACAATTTTGTGCTTTTTGTTGATGACTCTGCTGCCTTAAAATAGTCGTTGATGCCGAGCTCAAGGAGCTGTGATAACTTGACAGAGAGCAGTGCCTATCAGTGGCTTTCTTCAGGCCTGAGCTGTAGAGCTGTTGGGAGAGTTCACTGATAATCAGCCCACTTAATAAACAAGGTCCTTTAAGTAGAAACACATAACCCAAAATACTGTATTGCTCTGTTGACAGAAATAATTGAGCCAAACGCTTGCAGAGCCTAGCCCTGCATTTTCCCAGGAGCTATGGTTGAGTTTTTGCTAATTCATAGATCATGGCGACTTTATAGAACAGAACTACCGTGAATTAATGATAATGAACTGTATTTTGTTCAGTATGAGGGTTTTCAACCTGGATGTTTATGATGCATCTACTTAGAGGAGTTATTTAAAGGTTCTTATCCTCCCACCCTTTCAAGGTCTGGTTCTGAAGTCTGCAGGTGGGTGTGGAGATTCAGTGACTGTGAGAGGCGTAGGGGTTGCAGGGTCCACACTGAGAATCCACTGGGTGTAGGCCATGGCCCTGGCTTGTGAGAAAGCTCATGTCCCAAACCTCAGGAGTTGGTGGCCTCATTTTTGGCCTGTTGGATGACCATGCATGCTCTAAGGCAGGCAAAAAGAGTGGGGAAGGGAGTAGATGGACTAATCATCTGAGTTTTATATCTTGGCTAAGGCCTCATTCTTTCCTTTTGTAAAATAAGGATAGTGGTGGTACCTAGTTTGGGAGTTTAGTGAAATAATATACTTGAAACTTTAAAGTGTTATTCTTATTCCTTTTACAGAAGAAAAGAGAAGAGGCAGGGTTGGTAGAATTGGGTACCCTTTGCTTTTGGATGTTACCTCTGGAGCTTTGCTGATTCTGTGTGCCTTCACTCTTTAGGTAACCTGGATGGGGAGGACCATGCCGCAGAGCGAACAGTGGAGGATGTTTTTCTTCGCAAGTTTATGCAGGGTACCTTTCCCGGCTGCCTGGCTGACCAGCTTGTCCTGAAGCGCCGGGCTAACCAGGTGGAAATCTGTGCTCTGGTGCTGAGGCAGCTGCCAGCACACAAGTTCTACTTCCTCGTGGGCTATAGTGAGACCCTGCTGTCCCACTTCTACAAGTGCCCTGTGCGGGTGCACCTCCAGACTGTGCCCTCCAAGGTGGTGTACAAGTACATCTAGGACATGCCTGTGGTGTCAAGCTCTAGCCTGTAGAGGACAGAAACGTGTGGGAAAGGGGTGAAGTAGAAATGGCAAAACTCATCCCTTCAGAGTCCACAGACCTCACTTTCAAAGCTGCTGCTGAATAAATGGACTGTCCATGTTGTCTGGCCTCTTGCTCTGTCTTTACTCTTCAGGTGAAATGACTCGATGGGGGTTCTGTAAGGTGCTCGTTGGTCCCAGGAGGCTGCCACGTACAGTGTTTGCTCATCAAATTCCAAGCATGTGAGAAAGTATTGTTAATTGTGGTCACATGGTGGTACTCTAAATCCCCAGTACTTACCCATCTTGCATAACTAAAACTAACTGTATTTCCCCCTCCCCCAGCCCCTAGTAACCACTATTCTACTCTGCTCCTATTTCAACTATTGTTGATTCCATACAAAAGTGGGATCAGCTGAAACTGGTTTGGCTCACTGAATAAGTATCGGCCTAAGGACTGAAGGATCCCAGGCTCAATTCGGGTCAAGGGCATGTACCTTGGTTGCAGGCACATCCCCAGTAGGGGGTGTGCAGGAAGCAGCTGTTCGATGTTTCTCTCTCGCCCTTTATCTCTGTAAAAAATCAATAAAATGTATTAAAAAAAAAAAAGTGGGATCATACAGTATTTGTCATTCTGAGTCTGGCTTATTTCACTTACTGTAATGTCTTCTAGGTTCATCCACATCCTAAATGGAAGGATGTTCTTTATCTAGCCTAGATATACTCCATTGTATGTATATTTCATGTCTTCATCTATTTATCCACAGATAGACACTTAAGTTGTTCCCATGTCTTGGCTACTGTGAATACTGCAATGAACATGAGAGTGCAGATACTAGTATGTGTTTGAGGTACCGTTTCACTTCTTTTGGATAAATGCCCAGAAGAGGAATTTCTGGATCACATTCCAATGTTGCTTGTTGTCCCAGGAATGCCCTTGGCAGGCGGCCAGAGACCCCGCTGACACCCGCTTCCCGTTGTTACGAAGTGAGTCCCCAAGAGATGAACCACCGGAGCCAATTTGATTAAGCATGCTAGAGTTTATTACAGATTCGAATCCGGGCTCAAACCTTGCTTGGCTGACGCAGCAGCCGGCAAACACCCAGGTGAGAGCCCTGATGGAGGGGCAGTCCCTCCTCTTATACCTCTTTTTCCCCACCCCTCCCACCGTTGGTATGTCACTCCCAGATTGGCCCCTCATGACAAAGACCTGGCCTTCCAGAGCTATTTCTCAGTTTACACAACCTGGCCTGTTTTTGCCTCAAGCAGAATGTCTGTTCTGACTCCAAACAGGAGTGTGGATGCTGCTGTTTTGATGACGCCAATCTCCTAGCCAGGTCTGGAGGGAGGTCTGCTTTTCTTACTACAAAGGAATTCCCGGCACTGAGTTAGGACTGACTTTATTTTTATTTATTTATTTTTTAACTGCCCCCCCCCCCCCCTCCGGCCAGGTCTGTCTCCAGAGTCCTTAACTCTTGGGCAGATGGGGCCCACTGTCACACCCGTGAGAGGCGCCCTTTGCATTGAGTCTTCACCTCTCCCAGTCCTCTTCCTGGAACCTGTTACAGACTCGAGTGCTTTAACACTTTGCTGAACCAACGGATACAAATATCAGGAATCAGGGACACTGCAGGTTCCAGAGCCTGCCCGCCCGCCCCCCCCCCCCCAAGTACAACCAGAACTGGGACAGAGCCAAGGCCCCCCAGACCTCTGAACTGCAAGAGAGAGGGAGCTAGGGCGACCCCCCTCCGCAGGGGTGGATCAAACCCATGCAAATGCAATGTGAACCCTAAGTTAATGCGGTGTTAACCCTGAGTCAACAGAGTTAACAACCCACAGCCAAGGAGTTTTTCCTGTACACAGCGATTACACCTGGCTGCGCCTCACCAGCGTGGCTCAGTGGTTGAGCCCAGCGTGGCTCAGTGGTTGAGCTTCGATCTAGGAACCAATAGGTAGAGCGGCTCCATTCCCAGTCAGGCACATGCCTGGGTTGTGGGCTTCATCCCCAAGTGGGGCGTGCAGGAGGCAGCCAATGGAAGGTTTTCTCAAATCATTGGTGTTTCTCTTTCTCTTACTCTCCCTTCCCCTCTGAGATTCATAATACATTTTTAAAAAAACCTTTCTTAAAGCCCGGTAAGCAAAATGGCAAGTGCACATATGTGGATATATAATATATTGGATTTGATACATATGCTATTATATTTTGAATAAAAAATTTCAAAACTTCATGTCATATTTTCTGAAGGTGTTAGCATCATAGATATTTTAATGCTTAAAAATGTGGAATGTAATGCCAAAAGGAAGAGCATTTGCGGGAAGTTTTAGTTCATTACTAATAACTCCATCTATAGGGGGGAAAAAATCCCCATTATTAATTGATTTACCTGGTAACACCACTTTTGTGTTCTTCTTTCGCCGCCTTGTGGACATCTCTGGAATTGCATTGTTTGCTTTAAATTTTTTTTTAAGCCATTCCAATTTCAGATTGCTCATGAAGAGAGGTCTCTGTGCTATACTTGTCACAGAAGACACGTCTCTGTGCTATACTTGTCACTTAGCACAGAGACCTCTCTTCATGAGCAATCTGAAATTACCCGTGTGATACTTTGTGACCCTGCAAATATTATAATTTTTTCCCTTCCAAATACCAGGGGCAATTTTCCATAAACTGGTGCCTTCTCCTGCACCACCATCAGCATGGGGAAGTTCACACTGATGTGTCTGCCATTCAGTCCTCTGACAGGATTGCAATGTCATCCGTTGTCCCAGGAATGCCCTTGGCAGGCAGCCAGAGACACTGCTGACACCTCCTTCATGTGAGAGGTGCCCTTTGCATTGAGTCTTCACCTCTCCTGGTCCTCCTCCTGGAACCAGTTACAGACTCTTAACACTTTGCTGAATGAGCGGATACAAGTTCCTGGAATCAGGGACCCTCCAGGCTCTAGAGATGCCCCCTGGAATGCAACCAGAATCGGGGATGGAGGCAAGGTGCCATGGACCTCGGAACTGCAAGAAATGGGGAGCTGGGGTGACCCCTCCATAGGGGTGGATCGAACCCATGACACCCTCAGAGCAAATGCAATGTTAACCCTAAGTTAATGTGGTGTTAACCCTGAGTTAACAGAGTTAACAGCCCACCGCCAAGGAGTCTCTCTCTCGTGCACAACAATTACATGTGGGTGCGCCCAGGCAGTGTAGCTCAGTGGTTGAGCTTTGACCTAGGAACCGGGAGGTCCCAGGCCCTATTCTTATACTGAAATTCCATCTCCGGAGTGGTTGTGCAGGAGGCAGCTGGTTAGTTATTCTCATCTTCGATGTTTCTCTTTATATTCCTCTCCTGCCCTGAAATTAATTTAAAAGACAAATTGTTGTTGTTGTTAAGGGAAATGCAGTGGTGGCTGGCAGGTTGCAGAGCTGCGGGTGGGGATGGCCTGTCAGGTGAGGGGCAGCGTTGGGAGGTCTGTGAGGGGGTCTTCAGGAGGCAGAGGAATTAGTGTCTTGGGAGGACCCTGTTCTGGGCCCCCCTGATCATGGCTGCAAGGTCACAGGCTGTGGGTGAGGGTTCGAGCACAGAGTTCCTCCTGGAGGCCCCAGAGCCTCGAGTGCCAGGTAAGTTCAATTCCAACTTTCAAGCAAACATTTCTTTTGTCTTTGTTGTTTGTAGCTTTGAGTGCAGAGGAGACCATTAAAGCCACCGCATGCCTTTCGGCTGGTGTTGTTCAATGGTTGAGCTTGGACCTATGAACCAGGAGGTCATTCGTTTCCATTCCCAGGCTCCTGGTTCCTAGTTACCATGTTATTGTTGTGGCTATTCCAAGAATAACACGTTGTGTTTGTGTCCGTGTTGCTGAAATTGAAGCTTATATTAGGAATAATTGTACCAAAATAGAAACAAAGAAATGAACAAAAAGCCAAAAGAAAGAAAATCTCTCCAAATTATGGAGTGTATCCATGGCGGGAATAATTTCTTCCCTGGGTGGACTGAAGTCATTGGTGTTTATTTGACACCCTTTCCCGGGCCAGCTATGCCAAGGGTGGCTTGGGTGGTGCCCTTCCATTGTGAAGATGTGTGTTCCCTCTGTGTATCTGTGCCATAGAGGCTGCCATTGTTGAAGCCGTGTGTCCCAGGGAGGCCGCTGTTGACAAGGCAGCCATTTGTGGACAGGTGTTCTTTCCTGATGCCGCCAGTACCATGTGGGCTGCCTTTGTTGATGGTATGTCCAGATGCAGGGAACGGGTTAATACCAGGAAAAAAAGATTCACTGTCCTTTTGTGTGGAAACATATTTTTTTAAAAATATATACTAGACGTCAAAATTTGTGCACAGGGAGGGTGTCCCTTAGCTCAGCGTGTACCCTTTGCAATGTGGGACATCTGACCGCCTGTTCAGGTCCAATCCGAACTGCCATTCCCTGTAGGACTGGTCCCCCGCAACTGCCTTCCTGTGCTGTCCTAGTCACATCTAACTGCCCTTCTTTCTGGCCTAATTGCCCATAAGTGCCCTTCCCTGCAGGCATGTTCCCCCCCCCCCCCAAGTACTCTCCCTGCAGGGCTGGTCCTCACCCAAGTGCCCTGCCTTGCAGGCCTGGGTCCGCCTAACTGCCCTCCCTTGTTGTCTTGGTCTCTCCCAACTGCCCTCCTCTGCTGTCCTGTTCACCCCTAACTGCCCTCTTTTGCTGGCCTGGTCACCCCTAACTTGCCACAACTTCTCTCCTCTGCTAGCCATCTTGTGGCAGGCATGTTGTGTCCACATGAGGGCAGGCATGTTTGACCCCATGAGGGTGGCCAACTTGTGTGTTGGAGTGCAGGTAACTGAAACCTAACATTGTCTCTGGTAGTAAAATGTAGAAAGAGCTGGCCAACCTTGATGGCTCTGAAAGGTCAGAGCTATTAACTCATTGGCTAGTTGAGATAGTGGTGGTTGAGGCAACTTTAATTTGTTAATCATATGTAAATGTAAATTCTTGTTGATTTTCTGTTGTTGGAACTTCCCGCCTAAGAGATGTCTTTATCTCAGAATCTCAATAAAAGGAATGGTAAAAGGCCAGAGCAGGGGTTAGTCTTCCCACTAGAGGTGGACTTCCTGCCTGGCCCCCATTTTCCAAATTAACTCTTTTCCAGTCT